TGAAGTCAAATAGTCCTAAACATTATTTTTAGGCTCTACATCAAACACAAACAGATAAGATATCAGACAACCACTTTCTGAGTCTTTGTAATGCATAGGAATAACTAAGAGATGAACAAAATCAGATAACTAGAACTAATCACCATATTAATTCCAACATGTATGCCAAGACAAGATGGCAGTACAGAAATACAGTCATTTCACTAAGTTGGCACACAAGATTATTTCAATGAAGCAGCCTCAATTTGCTGTTAACATTAGGAAATTGTGTTTTTTTCCCCTCAGGAGAGTCCCATGAACTGCTCTATGGTGAATTGTGTACTCACTGAAAGTGCTGTAGAAACAATCCTCGCTGGAGAAGTAATAAGACAATGTCCGCTCGGGGATCAAGGCTTCCAAGGGTGGTGGTGGTAGCTCTCAGAAGTCTCCAGAGCCAGGTGAGCTCCAAACACTGGCTCTCAGTTCTGGAGAAGAATGAGTTTGGCTCCTTCAGTGTCCTTACATTGAGCTCCGAACCACACCCGCTTTTTCCAAGTGATTGCATTTCACCAGTCTTCTAATAGGGTTAATGTGGATGATGAGATTTCCTGAAACCTAGGACAAGACTGCTTTAACACCTTGGATAATCTTCATAAACCCATCTCTGCAAACATCTTCTCACCAAGAACCACTGAATATACCACAAAGCCACCCTCAAATGGGCCTTCATATGTGTTTCTAGATATCATGGATTTTTATTTTTAACTTACCAAAGAAGTTGGAAAGATGATTTCATCACTTAGAGAGTTTAGCAAATGTCTTGGAAAACTTGGAAATCTCATCAAGCCCCCCAGTGTCTCCCAGCAACAACAGGACAGGAGATTCTCTGCCTGGTGCTCCGCAACCCAGCTCAGGGGGACAGTAGAGAAAAGGCCCCAGCACAGAGACCCTTTTGGGACAATGTCATTTATAGGTTGCTTTGGAACAAAACAGAAACAACAATAACCACAATGGGAAAACTAGGACAAAGAAACATTTTGAAGAAATAACACATACCCTTCGCTTCCTTTCCTGACATATTTCTCACTGAATAATCAACTTGAGAATGCAGAGTTTTTGGAAGGAGTGAGAATCATGACCCTGTCTTGAAGTCTTCCAAGATACATGTACCATATATATATATATGTTTCCAGTGGTTGATGCTCCTAAATGTTTATGAACATGATTTAAAAATGACCTTGAACTGCAAAAGCACAACCTCTCTCTCATGGGGGACCACAATTGTTACAAGCATTCCCAAGGTCATTATTTTTCAATTCTTAACCAATTTCCCTAGCACCCTTCTTTTCTAAGTGAAGTATGGCAATATAGGTTAATTACTACAATAATAATTTGTGTTCCCAATTAGTCATAAAGTGGTTTTGGGAATGCTGACATGAAAGTGATTTTATTTTATTTCTCTGTTTTTCTATATTTTACATATTGCAGCAGTCACTAAAATCAGAGCACCAGATGCAAATGTACAGTTTCCTCTTCAGGAGACACTGACACTCTGGATCTCCTCAGTGGAAGAGTTTGAAGACAGCACTAGCCCAGAGTTCCCTGGAGAGGATGACATTGGGCATGTAAGTGTGTGTTTAATTAGGAGCCTGCCCCTCAAGCAGCAGCTAGGAAGACACATAAGTGTAAGCTCTCTAGTTTAAAATCACGATAAAAGACTTGACTTATGTCTGCAAAACTGCTTCATGGTATCACTTGGATTAGTTTAGTGCCTGATTGAATAATCAGAGGTGTGTGCATGCTAAAACATGCTGCTGCCCTCACTTCCCCCTTTGTAGTCTAGCCCGGCCAAGTTGGCATGTCAAGAAGCCATCATGAGGTTATATGCTGCAAAAGTTATCAAACATAAAAATAAGTCTCCTTG